ATTTTGCTCTCTTATGATCAGCTACTTAGCACATCCCTAATTCTAACAATAAATGGCCCAATTTCTTCATCTCACTGACAGCACAACGTTTTTGCTGTCTATGTGATTATCCGTGGTGCATAAAAATAACAGATTCAATTCAAAACTCAGAGGTATCCTTTTCATGCAAATAGCGAGGACAAACATAGTTTTAGATCAGCAGCAGTTTCTTCCCTCTTTGTCTTGTACTTTAGAGAAGACGCAGAGAAGAAAGTGTCAGCTGTCAACAGTTTTTCTGTCTGTCGCACCAGTAAAACAAAACAGCACCTGAACACAGATTCTGCCTTTAAGTCTGTATCAAGTGTGTCCTTATGTCACACATCTTCCCGTTCTTTTGAAGTAGTAATCATTTAAAACATAAGTACACACATCAATGAACTTTTAACTTATGATAGCATAAAATACATTCTTTCCTTTAGCTATACATCTGACAATTAAATTCTGCCCATGTTACTCTCAAATGTATCGTTTAGCATATTCTGAACCTAATCTGGTTCTAAATTGAAAATTTGAATTTAAATCTATTTTGTATTATTACAATATATTGATTCAACCGAAGCCCAACTCATTGAAGCTTTTACATTTGCATTACACAGACTACATATCACCAGAAGTTTTGCCAAAGTTTTACAAATGAATTCTAATAGCCACCACAGGAACTGTTTTGGGACTCAGAAACCTTACATGAAACCTAAGGAACCAGGGCCTAAATTGAGTTATCATGATTTTATTTCCCAGTGTTCCTGCTCTGGGGATAATAATTTTACGGCCAAGGAAGTATTGGGATGGAGTGAATGCAAAAAACAAAAACAAAAGTTAAAAAAAGTTACATGCATTCAGTTTGTCGCTAATTGAAAGGTCAGCGTTGACTGTTGGTTTACTACGTAACTCAACCCCAACCCTCCTCCCTACGCTGAATTTGTGGCTTTTTATACTGCACCATCATACATGCGTGCACTTTTTAAGTCTAGGCGAACTTGACACTGACACAGTCTCCTCTAGTGGATCGATGCGAGACTGGCCTGTTTGACAATGCTGAGAAACTGCTAGTATCATCATATTTTTTTAAAAGCTTTAGTGCCACCCACTTTAATAAACTTCCTCAGCTGTCACCAAACTGTATCTTCTCTTATTTTGCCTTTATTTGTGTTTCTTTCTTGGCCAAGCTCTTGTTTTTCATGATGATGGTGCGACATAGTGATACAGACACACATCAATTACACACCTACTTACAGCACTGTTTACCAAATGTATGTGGATGCATTGACCAGAGTGGGTAGAAGAGAGAGAGAGATAGGGGAGAGAAAGATGAAGAGCAAAAGCGAGGGATGATAACAGAGGCCCAGCTGTGTGGCCTGCTATTCAGATAGAAATCAAGTAAAAACAATATAATGACAAAGTACTCCTTAATGTTGTATAATCACACAGCTCTGTGTTTCTCCATCTACTTACCTTTCGGAGTACGCATCCAGGCCCCAGGCATTCCAAATAACTCGTCTCAACCTTGTTCTCTGAACACTCTCCTCCACTGAGAACACCACTTCTCATTTTTCAGTTTACCGAGATGAAGAAACATTTTTCTTGAAGGAGGCGAGGTAATTGTGTAGTTTATTTTGGCTTTCATAATGTGTGAATCAGTGCCAGCATGATGATAGCGCCTTTGCTAGTTCATAGCATTCTATGTCTAAGAATTTCTACATTTGTAAGCAGTGCACAGTGATGAGAATTTGACTTTCTCTGCAGTTTGAAATCTTTGCCAGTGAAAGAGTGCCAGCTAATAGCCTCATTTAAGATGCAGTCAGTGACTCAAACATGCCTTGGTGGACGTATTAAAGTAACAAGTGAGAGGCAATGCAGAAAAGTAGGCGGTTTATTCAATTTCAGGGTTAAGAGGTGGCTTCATAAAACTGAATCAAGACATGAACAGAACACTTGCTGTGTTACAGTGGTGCAATTACATTTTGAGCTTTATATATAATATAAATATATAATATA